GCTAGAGAGGGACGTTCTCGGTAAATTGACGGCTAGAGAGGGACGTTCTCGGTAAATTGACGGCTAGAGAGGGACGTTCTCGGTAAATTGACGGCAATTGCCAAAAATGCGCTTGGTCGGCTGTTGCTACGTTTACTCATCAAGTCTTGGTTTCTACATCGGCAGTGCATGGACGCGTGCAATGGGTGTCTTGATGATGTGGAAACATCTAGTTTTGCCGGACGGTCAGGATGGTAAGTTATTATTAGATTCATTCATTATTACTTTTGATGGGTTGTATAATTGTATTCTGATTTGATGTGGAGCACAATGAGCGAAAGGCAAAATTTTGATTTTTTTTTTTTTGCTCAAGGTGAGAGGTTAAAACCCTGCACTAAACAATTTTTAGTATGATGTTTCAAAGCTCAGATTTTTTTTAATTATTATTTTTTTCCCCCGAAGGACCTTGGTTGTTTGCGTGTATTTGGTTGTGTGCCAAGGGGGGGGTATATCAACTTATATGTCTCTGTGGGACCATCAGAACAGATTGATCTGGCTGCCTACCGTCTTCACCGGAATAGAACGCCCAGTCATTTATACCTGTATTTGGGGCAACTTTCAGTCTAGGTACGGCGATAATTACTGGGTGTTCTGTCTGGGTGAAGACGGCAGTGTGTGTTGGTAGGTCGGTCTGTGGGTTCATGATGCACAGATGAGGTCTGGTAAGCAGTAGATGATTACAGTTAAAGGCCCAAAGATTTTGAATGCCTCTGGACAACTTCCAGACCAGATGCATTCAAAATGATGGCAGATGGCGGCGAATGGCGGATCACAGTTATCAAGGGCCTAGTTTCACTACTTGCCATCCGGCAAGATTTTGAATGCACCTGGACAGTTTCCAGACCAGATGCATTCAAAATGTTGGCGGATGGCGAGTGATGTATCTAGGCCCTAACTTATTAGGATCTCCGCATCCTGTTGGTCTTCCTGTTCTTTCTGCTAACACCACACCGCTGAAGTACAGCACTGTTACGCCCCCGAGCCCTTGTCGTCATCTTCCATCGTCATCATCCTCTGCTCTCCTTCTGCGACCACTCCAGTACTACTACCATGCGTCCTCTACTAATCTTGGTCGCCCCAGACATCGTAATGCCGCTTTCCTCCATCAGGATGTTTACTCTACCCATTGCCTCTGTTAGTCGTTGGCATTATTATCATTGTCTGGTGCGTCTGACCACTGCACTACTGCTGTTGATTCTTGTCTTGTAATGAGCACTCCTGTCATGTTGTTGATATCAGGTTGAAAAAAAAAAAAAAAAAAAAAAAAGGTCGACTACTGGCTGTTGATTCTCTTCTCTCGTATAACTGTAATGACTCTCTCCTGTCGTGTCGTTGAT